CGAGAAGGCCGTTTCGTTTCTTCAACTATCTAGCTGACCATGAAGAATTTATTCCATCTGTTGCAGAAGCCTGGAATATGTCACCTCGTCTTCTTCATTCTCGCACCGCTCTTTCCATCTTCCACCAGAGACTGAAGACCCTCAAGCCTGTTCTGCGAGCACTGAACAAAACACATTATGACGACTTACCTTCCATGACTAAGCAGGCTTATGAGGAGCTCTGCGAGTGTCAAAACAAGGTCCTCCAGGACCTGAACCCTGAGAACTGTACCCGCGAAGCTGAGGCATCTGACAGATGGAATAAATTAGCACGTATTGAAGAGAAGTTCTACCGGCAGAAATCGTGTATTCGTTGGTTATTTGCAGGAGATCAGAATACTACATTCTTTCACAGAGTGGTCCAAGCCCGCCCTGCCAGAAATTCAATCCGAAGGCTAGTAACAGAGCAAGGAGAAGTTCTCACATCGTCCTTTGGTATACGAAAGGAGGCTGTCTCTCACTTTCAGAAATTTTTACAAACTCAAGATGACACAACTGAGGAGGTTTCGGTTGCTTGGCTCCACGATTTGCTTACCTATAGATGCCCAATGGATGTGTCAGCTACGCTGGTATCTCCGGTCACAGCTCAGGAAATTTATGTGGCGCTTATAACGTTACCCAACGACAAGGTCTCTGGTCCAGACGGATTTACGAAAGAATTCTATGTTGCGGCCTGGAGAGTAATTGGCCAAGATTTTATCACTGCAATTCAGTCTTTCTTTATTTTCGGGGTTCTTCCATCCGGTGTCAATGCTACAATCCTCACTCTGATTCCAAAGATCGAAAATGCTGACAAGATGAAAGACTTCAGGCCCATTGCCTGCTGTAACCTCATCTATAAGGTAATTTCGAAGGTGTTAGCAAATAGACTGAAGTGTATTTTTCCTGATGCGATTGAGGCCAATCAGAGTGCTTTTCTCACTGGGCAACTTTTGCTTGAGAATGTGCTCTTAGCCTCAGAACTTGTCAATGAATATCACAAATCTCGTATCACGCAGAGGAGTGCAGTTAAATTCGACATATCTAAGGCGTTTGATACTGTGAAATGGTCTTTTATCACCTCGGTTCTTCAAGCTATGGGACTACCTCCTCAATTTGTTTACTGGATTCGTCTCTGCATTTCTACGGCTGCTTTCTCCGTAAGTGTCAACGGCAGTCTTGAAGGTTTCTTCACTAGTGCTCGAGGTATCAGGCAGGGCTGCTCTCTCTCGCCGTACCTCTATGTTATCCTCAGCAATGTCCTATCCAAACTTCTGAATCAGGCAGCCGAGACTAGACAGTTTTCTTATCATCCTCAATGCCAGGGAGTCAAACTTACTCACTTAAGCTTTGCTGATGATATTGTGGTTTTCACCAATGGGACAGTGGAATCTCTACAGGGTATTATGGGGGTGATGCAGCGGTTTGCGCGGATATCTGGGTTGCATATTAATGCCACTAAATCTTCTATTTTTGCTGCAGGACCAGACGTGACTTCTCTTATGGATAATGCGACTTCTTTAGACATAAATATTGGTACTCTGCCCATACGATACCTTGGAATGCCGCTGACTACTAAATCGTTTACTGCTCATGACTATGAGCCACTCATTGATAAAATTCGAGGCCGTATGCTATCCTGGACTAATAGGAGTTTGTCTTTCGCTGGAAGGCTCCAGCTCATTAGTTCAGTCATCTCAAGCATAATCAACTTCTGGAGCTCGGCTTTTATCCTTCCAGCTAAATGTCTCGAAACAATAGAGAGCATGTGCTCTGCATTTCTATGGTCCGGGTCCCCCACAAAGACTCATAAGGCGAAAGTAAGCTGGGATGATGTGTGCTTTCCGAAACAGGAGGGAGGCTTAGGGGTGCGAAGACTGAAGGATTCTTCTACGGCGTTTGCTTTGAAGCTCATTTGGCGGTTGTTTACGCAGCACACTTCTCTTTGGGTATGTTGGATCATACATTATCTGCTCAAGTACAACTCTTTTTGGGATGTCAGGGATGACCAAAAGGGCTCTTGGATGTGGAGAAAACTGTTGAAGCTGCGAGACTTGGCTTATGAGTTTTTTCGGATTGAGGTTAGAGACGGGAAATCAACACATTTTTGGTTTGATAACTGGCTGGGGAGGGGTCGTTTGATTGATATCACTGGTGCAGCAGGAACTACTTATATAGGCCTGCAACGGCGAGCGGTGGTTAGTGACGCCATCAGTCAGGGGGAATGGTCCATCAGGGGACGGAGGAGTCGCCATTACCATGAGCTATACACAACAATCCTTGCTCACCCAGTCCCTGATCCTCAGCAAGGAACTGATGTGGTATTATGGAAGCATGGGGACAATGACTATCGCGACTCTTTCTCTGCAGCAACTACTTAGGATCAGCTTAGAGCCCGACGAGCAGTGGTACCTTGGAGTCGGGTGGTTTGGTTCACTCAAGGAGTCCCAAGGTACGCTTTCATTACATGGCTTGCTGTTCGAAACAGATTGACAACTGGAGATAGAATGCGAAGTTGGGGGATTACTCAAGGCTGTCCATTGTCTGGTGAAAGGGACAAGACAAGGGATCATATTTTCTTTGCATGTCCTTATGTCTACACAGTGTGGGACAGATTGGCTGGGAAACTGTTGGGATCAGGTACTAATCCAGATTGGTGTTTGACTCTGGTATACCTTCAGAACCATCATTTCAGCGGCCTTGACTCCATAATCGCGAGGCTACTCTTTCAGACAGTAATTTATCATATCTGGAGGGAGATAAATGCAAGGCGACATCACACGAGGTGGACTACTGTTGAAGCTATGATGTCAACAATTGATAAAGCCATGCGGAACCGCATTGTATCGCTGAAGTACCAGCATGAGCACAAATTTGCAGGCCTTCTCCAGAGATGGTTTCTCCATTCTTTATAATTCTTTTGCCCTTTCTACTTCTATTTTTTTACTTCTTTGCGTAGATTAGCAGAACTCCATAGAGTATACGAACCACTTCCCTAGAAGTTTTGTAAATGTATCTTCCCGTGTAGATGAATAAATATCAAATTTCATCAAAAAAAATATATAAGAAGTTGTGCGTACTGTTTCAATTCTGACATTTACCTGTCACGGATATGATATCAGATTAAACCGTTATCAATATTTGAAAATGCAGGATATTAACGAAAATAGCAACTACTGTTCAAACTCGGTTTAGGATGGCAAATGGGAAAACCGTGTCACCACTCACCATATCAACTAAATTCTCTCTAACCTAAGCCAAACAAATCACTTATCAGGGGTGGATCTAGAAAACAATTTAATATGAAGCACAATATATTTTTTATATATTAAATACATTTTAATAAATTAAATTATAGTTTTAAGAACATTAATCATTAACTTAAAAAAATGAATAGAATAAATAAATGTTTTATGTTATTTATATTATTTTTAGTAATATTGTATAATTATGTATAGTAATTTCATTTTAAAAAACATTTATTCATTTTAGTTTTTATTTTAGTCTAAAGTATTAAAAATAAATTTCACAAAAATTGTAAAAAGTTAAATTTTAGTAAACTATGATTTTTAAAGTATTTTGTATAAAATAAATAAGCCAATTATAAAAAAGAATAGTTGTAGGCAGTAAAAAAAATATATTATGGATAAATATTTAAAATGTGTAGAAAAATTAAAAGAACAAAAATGCAACTAATGGCTCCATCTTGAACTGTTTAGGGCACACTTTAGTCTGTAAGACAAAAAACGCTATGTACTTCTCTCTGCCTATATATTTATACAAAAATTATATAAAAGTAGCATGTGGCACGCCACATCCACTTTGTAGGTGGGTCCGCCCCCGACCATTATTTCTTTAAAGCTTATTCTTAAAGTGTAGAGACTAAGATTTTGTAATTCTCATAAATAATGGAGGATGAAGGACACGAAATCCATCCTTATAGGTAGCGGTCTGAGTCCGTGCACTGAATGAACAAATTGCTTGTGTTCCTTTTTTGTGCTTGGATTATTTCCATTTAGCAAAGTTTAATTTCACATAAATGGTATTAAAGCCGTGATTAGGGTTAATCCAATAATCTACAGCAAAAAAGAGAGTGAAAATTACATGTTAGAAGAGACACTTGTTGTTTCCTTGTGTAAGGTAGTATAAAGAATAATTATGACCGGTCTTGGAACAGTCCCAATGAAATATTGGTTTTGAACCCTTAGATTTTTGGAAGAAAAATACATGTAGTATATAGATCTCCTCAAAAAAAAAACATTCGAGACTCCAAATCCGTAAAAATAAAATTTAGGTGAAAATATTTTAAAAAATCACTTTAGATCCCATAATTCTTACGGCCGGCCATGAGAATAAAACCTTACATTCTTTTTTTTGAACTTAAAAACCTTACCTTAGTTACTTGGTGAGCTGAATCCTACGTGGTTGTGAGTCGGCTGCAACAACTAGGCTTTGTTAAATTTTGACCAAACTAAACCCATATGGTTGGTGCTTTTATGTTTAGATTACTCTCATTTAACCAAGTCAAATTCAGCACAGGTACAAAATATATTTACCTAATAGATTTCAGCCGGAAGGGAACCGAATACTCAAATCTCATGCCAAGTTCCACGCAAGATAGAATGAACGAAAAGACGTCTGATTTGAAACCGTAAACTAAACATGAAGTAACAGCATGGAACGCAAAACAAACAAATTTGACTCACTGTATCCTATAATTCAAGACAAGAAAGAATCAGCGTCTAAACAACTGACTCAGCATACAACAGAAACCTAAACTAAACAACGGTTAAACTAAACAAAAATGCGTGCGACCTGGATCTTTAAATCTGCTGCTCGGTCCCGAAAACATTGGTGTTCTTGGTCTTTATTAGTCGCATTGACAGGATCTTGAGCCCTGTGTTTTCTCCAGACAGATTTTCGATTTGCAGCATTGTCCCAGCAGCATGGAGAAGAAGATTCCTTTTCACTTGTGGTCCTGATCAGAAGTCAGGTATGCCACTCGATCTCGAGGAGTATTCTGTCACCAGTCGAAGGAACATCGAAGATTTATCCTCTAGAAGTCGTGTTGGCGTGTCGCATTCCGCAACAAGACCTGTAAAATCATCACCAAAGTTTTTAAGATGCGTTTTAAGTATTCGTTACTCAAGTAAACAGAGAATCTTCTTTTTGTGAATGTATGTACCATCGCTTAGAACCAGAACCATGTCACTATCGATCACAGTCGGGATCCGCTGTGCGATAGTGCAGACCGTGCAGTCTCCAAACTCTGTTCTCAAAATCTTCTGGATGAGAATATCAGTGGCTGAGTCAACCGAAGCAGTTGCTTCATCAAGCACAAGAATTCTCGCTTGTTTAAGCAATGCACGACCAAGAGACACCAGCTGCCTCTGCCCCACACTCCAGTTATCTCCATTTTCTAACACTGCACCAAAAATTTTAATCAACCAATCACATCAGCGTTTTTTTTCCTTCTGAATCTCCGACAAGATTTGTGGTGGAAGCATCACGGAAGCATTGGCTATGTACCTGGAGTATCGAGCTTCTGGTCTTTTGCACGAACTATATCCCCCAACTGTGACTTATCTAGAGCCTGCCAGACAAAAGAAAAAAAAAGCAGGATCTCAACACACTGAGATTCAAAATAGTTTCGAATACCGAAGGCAACATCAGAAGATTTCTACCTGCCAAACTTCTTGATCAGTGTGTTCTTCGAGAGGGTCGAGGTTTCCTCGGATAGTGCCTTCAAACAAGGTGGGGTCTTGGGGAATGATGCTGAGACGGCCGCGGAGATCGTGAAGGCCAATAGAGGAGATATCAATGCCATCAATGATTATTTGTCCTGCATATGGCTCTATCAGCCTGAATAGCGCTTGGATCAGAGTTGATTTGCCACTTCCTGTGCGCCCCACAATCCCAATCTTCTTGCCACCAGGGAATACACAGTTGATTCCGTGGAGTACAGTTGGTAGATTCTCTCCATATCGAACCTTTAAACAAAGAAGGAAGAGGATGATGAATAAATGCTATGCGAGAAGTTAAACAAGAGAACAATTCGAATGCACCTTCAAATTGTTGATCTCAATGGTTCCCTTTTCTGGCCACGAGGGAGGAGGGTGAGCGTCCTCGATGAACGTAGGGGCTTCACTGGGAATCTGACTATACTGATAGATTCTTTCGATGGAGATGATTTTGTTCTCGAGCTTACAAAAGCTAAGTATCCACCGGGAACGGCAAGCGTTTAAATTAAGACCATACGTTACTGCAAGGCCAGCCATGCCTATACAAAGGTATATTCTGAACTCAATAAAGATGATAAATAGTTTTCTAACGACAGGGAGAAATACAGAGGAAAGAGAGAACTTGCTTGGATCGATTGTTCCATGTGGAAAGCTAACGAGCAGGAGCATGCAGAAGGCAAAGACAAAAGTGGAAAGCAGTTCCATGCGTAAACAGAGCCACTCTATAGCAGCGATGCTGCAAAAGAAAGGGCGGGCAAAGGAGTCCAGTAAATAGAGGTTTCTCTTCATGAAACGCTTTTCTTGGCCAAATCCTCTGATTGTTGCTGCACCTGCGATTGACTCACCGAAAAGATGGATGATTGGAGATTTCTGTATGCTCACAATCCTAACCAGCTCTCTAGACGAAGCCATGTAGTATTTCTACGTTTTCAAGTGAAAAGAAACTTTGCTGTTAAAACATTTATACAAAGAGATATAAGTCATATATGCTGTTCACATATTGAATTTGTTGTATCCCTTAAAGTATCATTAAACGAATCTTCAGATAATTAACCAGAAATCACCTGCACCCACAAGCAAGCAATGCCAGCTGGAATTACAAGAAGAAACACTTGCCATGTAACGTTTGTCATCACACCAACAATGCCAATGAGCTGTATTGTTGTTGATGCAAATCCTCCGAGCCTAAAAGGAATATCAAGATCCACCACGCTTTGACCAATGGACACCTAAAAAAGGTGCATAATAGCAATGAGAAAGACCATCATGAAGAGAAGACGTCGTAGTCATGTTTTAAATAAATTTTAGAAAGAGAACGAACCCGATTTAAGATCCTTCCAGCAGGAGTGGAGTCGAAAAACGACATTGGCGCGCGGAAAACACTCCTGAGCATGTTCAGAAACAGCTTCTGAGCAGCTACAAGGCCGAATGTGGCGACCAGAATAGCTCGAACAAAGATAAATACTGAGCTACCAAATGCTAGCGCAATAAATACAAGGAGAAGGACCGTGGAGCTCACTTTAGCTTGGTCTCCCTCTGTTTGCGGATTTGCCCAGGCCATCCACCAGTTGCTTGCAATCTGAAGGAACTGAAATAGAGTTTGCGCAATGATTATGAGTGGTATCAACAATCCTTTATAGGCTGCAGCCATGTATGACTAGTACACCTTCATACTGATTCGTCCCCGGACACGTTCCTCTTCCTGAACCAGTTGTTTCTTCCTCAGCCGTTTTGCTTTCTTTTTCTCTTTGATGGCTTTCTGGTTAGACCCTGATGGCCCTTCTTGGACCTCCTTGGCCAGAATCTCAATGTTGCTCGAGGAAGCGTTGGATTTTGGATTGTGTGGTAGTGACTGGTCTAGCACATGATGGCTGTCCGAATCCTCTGATGAATGGCTTGGAATGTCCATTGCGTCAATAGCTTCATGATGAGCAGACACAAGAGATAAGAAATCCGTTCCTGCTTGTAGCAGTTCCTCATACTTACCTGACTGTATAATTTGGCCATCCCTAAGGACCTGCAGATTAACATAAAATTTCATGAAGTGCTTTCTTGGTATTATATACTTTTCTTTGTGTCTTAACATTAAAACAGCTCTTGGTATACGATTTTAGCAGAAGTCCTCACCAATATAAGATCCGTGGTAGGAAGAAACTCGACTTGATGAGTGACAAATATCACAGTCTTGTCTGCCAGAGCTGTCAATATGTATTCCTGTATATACGAAAACTCAATCTTTTATATGGGGAGACACATTCATGCAAGATTGTTGTTTGTTTATTTGGAAAGAGGTAGAAAAGAGAAAGTGTACCTTGAAGAGTTCGGAGCCAGTGTGCGCATCAACAGCGCTAAAAGGGTCGTCCAGCAGATATACATCAGCATCCTGGTAAAGCGCTCTTGCTAGCTGAACTCTCTGCTTCTGACCACCGCTGAGGTTTATGCCTCTGTCACCGATAATGGTTTGATCGCCATGTGAGAAGAGCTCCAAGTCCCGTTTCAGTGAACAAGCGTGTATAACGTTCTTGTACTTAGCCTTATCCATTGGACTGCCAAAGAGAATATTTTCTTCTATATTCCCAGACTGAATCCATGCGGATTGTGAAACATAAGCAGCACTACCGCATATTCTGACCTGTGTATTTCAGTGTACAACTCGTAAAATTTGCTGAGGAAGTAAAGTTATTACAGCTGAAAAATACACATGTTTCACTTACTTCACCAGAGATTTTAGGGATTTCACCAAGTATACAAGAAAGAAAACTTGATTTTCCGGAACCAACGACTCCACAGACAGCTACGCGCATTCCTCTTTTAACATTTAGATGAATATCAAACAAAGTTGGCCTTAACCACGAAGGATCCCAAGAGAAACAGCCGTCTTTGATCTCTACAGATGTGTCTGACACACCTTGAGGAAGGATTATCGTAGCATCTCCCTGGAGCTCTTCCTCTAGCAGAAATCCAGATATTCGATCAAGAGACACTTTAGTCTGAGCCATCATTGACACCAGATCAGGAAAATTCCTAAGCGGCTCCTGAAGAATCCTGAAAGTTGCAAGCGCCGAAAGAACACCTCCTGCAGTGAGCTGAGTTCCTAGGCCTATAGCCGTAGCAAATGTGATTGCAGCTACAAATATAGGCGAACTCCAGAATATAAACGTGATAAACGCTTGGGAGTATAAAGCCTTTCGAAGCCACTTGAACTATGTGCTCCTCATTCCCTCAAGTACGACCCTGTACCGATCCTCCCAAGCCTGCAGCTTCAGAATCCTCATGTTCCTCAAACACTCGGAAGTCTTTCTCATTCGCTCATCTTTAGCAGACATCAGTTTGTCTTGATAGTCCTCTTGAACTTTGGCCAATGGGATAGTAGCAAGAATAGAGAAAACTGTGGCCACCAACGTGGCTACAGCCGCCATGCCCACACTCCTGTACAGGATCCCGAGAGCAAGTACAATCTGTAGAGGAAGCATCCACATATCATGAAGGTACCAAGAGTAGTCACCTACTCTCTGGACATCAACGGCCATGTAGTTCACAATTTCGCCGCTCGTGTGATTCTGCTTAGTTATACTCGAGAGTTTTAGGCCTTTTCTGTACACCATAGCCGTTAGAGCTGATCTGACATGCATCCCCAAGATATCCACACCAAGATACCACTGCCGAGTTGTTAAAGTCTCTGCGAGCTTGGCCGCAAAGAAGATACCAGCGAGGATGTAACCCTCATGAGGATAAGTCTCTTTCCCACCCAGATAATTAACAAAGTCATTCACCAGATAAGGACCCACGTAAGAAACAAGAGTGTTCAAGCCAGCAAAGACTGCATTACAAGCAGCTTCTTTCCAAAGCGACTTCAACACCGCCCAAGCAAGAGAAGGTGGTTTTGAGGGATTCTCAGCCTTTAACTTCTCCCAGTTAAACTTCAAGATTTTGTAGTTGGTCTTTGCCCGGTCTTTGGGAGCGAGGAGAGGAATGTCCGTGAGATCCAATGGCCTCTTGGCGCCAAGGGAGAGAAGAGGATTCAGCCACGAAAGCGTAGCGAGGCTGAACAACCCGGCGTCACTATAAGAAGTAACATTAAGACACCCAGCTTTTTCTTCTTCTTGTTCGACAAGTAAAGGCTCAATAAGATGTGAATCCGTAATAACTCGAAGACCTGACTGACCTCTCAGAGCAAGGAAGCAGAGGAAAGCCAGGGCCGGAGCTGAAACAAAGTTGCCAACAACGTGAGAAGACAAATGATTTGAGCCGTTTACAACAAGCTCTCTGGAGTCAATGAACAAAGCCCATAAACAGATCAAGAAGCCCACAACCCACCATAGCCTTAACAGTAAAGGGAACTTTTCCGCAGAGGTGTAACTACATCGAACAACTGATGCGCATAACACTAACCAAGCTAGAATCTGTGTAACCGGCGAGAAAATAACACAAATCTCGTTTCTTTCCTTAGTTACTCCGACAACATCTAAAACCAAAACTGAAACTTGCACGATTAAGACAAAGAAACAGCATAGAACCGAGAATTTGTAGCCAGTGGTGACTTCGACCTCACGGGTGTCTCCGACATTGACGGAACTAGAGTTTCGTACAGAGTCATGTTTGAAGAAAGGGCCACGACGGAGGCAGAGAAGTAAGCGTCTTGCGGAGATATGGATGATAGACACTAAGAAGAGAGACAAATTGATGGAGATCGAAGAGACTTCCACAAGTGGTAAATCACGAAGCTCTCTGAAGAGGGTTGTGGTGAAACCCATAATCAATTAGATTAATGATATTTCTGAGGAAGAAAGAGCAATTCAACATCAAGGTTTGTTATGTAGAGAAGATGGTTATGAGCAGAGAGTCACGATGGTGGTAGAGAGAAACGCAGAAGCTGAAAGACACATCGCACATGTAAACAAAACGACTTTTCGTTAGGGTCTAACAGGTTGAAGAACACATCAGAAAGAAAGAAAAAAAAGTATTATTTTCTAAGAAAAAGTTGAGACTTTTTGTTGTGTTGCATCGATGTTATCTAGAGACAGAAGAAGACAAAAGCACACATGAAATTTTTTAAAATTTATGACGAGACCTGTGATCAAAGACAATGTCGCTTCTCTTTCTCTCTCCCTTAACCCGAGAAGAGAGAGAGAGAGATGTTTCCAGCTGTGCGTGGTAATGGCGTTACAACAGAGATATTGAATCGCAAAATGTAGGAGGAATTTGGCTTTTCTTTGTCCTCTTCCTTCTTCTTCTTACATGTAAATCTGAAACTCTTTCTCTCTCAAAAAAAAACTCTCTCTCTTACACACACATACACCGGATTATATATATAATGTAGATGCAGTCGAGGCTTTTGATCTTCAGACGCAATCAATTGTATATATATGGCCTTAAATAGTAATAGTGTCCAATTATTTATTTATCCATTTAAATAGTTCTCATTTTTAAATATGATTAAGTTCATTCTTTTGCCTAATTTTTTTTTTCTTAAAGCTGAGTAATTATGCTGCACCAAACTATTGGAAATAGTACAGACGATTTTACATTCTAGTGCATCACCTAGGAACATTTCAAAAGCAACTTTATTTTTGAAGGTTTGTTGGTCCTCCACTTCTAAGTTCATTCCTGCCACTGCCACTGAAAAAGATGAAGATAAACAATTAGTACTAATAATAAGTAAATACTGAAAGATTTAGTCTCAAGCAATGACCAAATTTCAATGTCAAAATTAAATTACAATTGGCACGACGTCAAAATTGATAAGGAACTTTTAAGTTCTATGTCAAATTAAAGTAATATTTAAGATTGTCAATTCAATTCTAAGTTGTTTTGAAGCAAATAGATTACAAGGTAATGCTTAAACTAAATGCAACCAGTTTAGTGAAGTGATAAGATTCAAGAACAAACTAAAATGCAATAAATGAACAAGCTTTCTTTCAATAAATAACAATAGGATCCATAGGACTAGGTATTTGATTTCAGGTGATCAACAATCAGTCTAAAGGTGGCAAGAAATCAATCAAAATGCAATCTTAAGTCTAAACAACCTAACTAAACAAATTTTTGGTCAAAACAAATGCCCATTTGCTTTCTTTAATCAGACACAAAGGTTATTGGTCTAAATAACTCAAGCAATCATTAATAATATGTTTAATAACTATCTAAGACTTCCTCGATACAAATGTCATTGGCTAAGAAGTCTTAAAGCTAAAGAAAATTGGTTTTGGCATTGCTTGAGATTAAATCTTATTTACTTATTATTAGTATTAATTCTCTATCTTCATCTTTCTTTCAATGGCAGGTATATGAACTTGACTTTAATATTCACTAACACTTTAAATTTGAAGTTTTTTAATTAGCATTTTAAAAAACTTCAAAGTGACAGTTCTATTAGAAAAAACCTTCAACTTGACTTACTTGTTTATCAAATAAAAAATTGACGATCAAAAATGTAAAAACGATGACGTATCAATTTTTTTTGCCCAAAATTAATTATTTAATAATTTTTTTAAAAAATAAATAAAAAACAGAAAATTAAATTAATTTTTCAAAAATTAAATTAATTTTTCAGAAATTAAATGAAAATTCATAAGAACTAGAAAATTCAGAAATAATTCTTTTTTGAAATTGAAAGATGATGTTTAATAAAAATATTTGAAACCATCATCGTCAACAGCAATATTTTTGAGAATTTTATTGTTAACGAATGATATGTTAGTTTTATTTGAAAAATCACATAAAATTAGAAGATTGCTTTAAAAAAAAACTGAGATATCATCATTGACTATAAAAATTTCGAACATATTATTATTGACGATGATGGTTTGAAGCAATTTTCTTGAAAAAATAATCTTGTAATTTTGATTAAAAAAATTAGTTTTAATTTTATAATTTTTGTCAATTTTCTTTAATTTATTTTTAATTTTATTTAATTTTCTCTATTTAATTTATCTTTTTTTTAAAAAAAAAAAAATATATATATATGTATAATTTCTGAATTGTTTTGATTGTTTGTTTAATTTTCTGAATTTTTATTAGTTTTCCGATTTTTAATTTAATTTATATATACTTTATTTATTTTATTTATTAAATAATTATTATTGGAAAACAAATGACAAGCCATTATATTTACATGTTCAACATGTCAGTTTTTACTTGGTGGACAAATAAATTAAGTTAAAGGTTTTTTTGATACAAATGTCACTTTGAAAGTTTAAAGTTCTAGTGAAAAAACTTTAAGATTTAAAGTGTCAATGAGAGTTTTTACGCGATCTTCTCTTAAAATATTAATATTATTTGTCAGGGGACCTCTTTTTAAGAAACTATGCGATAAGGTTGCTCTAAGCAGTGTGGAATCTACAAGTGCATGGATGATTGAAGAGAGAGTTAAATTTGATTTTGCAATTTTGTTCTATTTTGCAGTATGAAAAAAATTGAAATATTATATTTGATAAAATTATAATAGGATAACAACATATTTGTATTTACGGAGTCGAATTGTCTAACACTACAACTTGAGCATGATGAAAATGGATATCTCCGTTAGAGCATCTGCAACAAGGGGTCCTTAGGGGAAATCCTTAGGGAAATATTAATTTTATAATTAGTGGGTTCCATGAACAGTTAAGGATTATATCTTTAAAATCTTTATTTAAGGATTGATCCTTACAATATTCACGGGCTCCACTACCCACGTAGTGACCCGCGAATGGTCAGATTTTTTTTTAAAGAAAAATCTAAATTATTCTTATATAATCCGAAATGTCCCTTTTTCTCTTTCCCTGAGGATTTCCTCTAAGGACCTCTTGTTGCGGGTGCTTTTTAGTCATAGGGATCCAACCACTTTGGCTAAGCATATAAACAATGGTTCCAAATCCTGAGGTTTTGCTTATGAGAGTGTCAGTTTCTAGGTTGAGAATTTACTAAACTTTGGCAGAGGGACTGTGGCGTCCAAAGACAAATCTGCGATGAACAAAGAACGACAGCTGAGGAGATCAAGATCAATGGAAGGGATCAAGATTGACGGCCTAAGATAGATCAAGATCGATGCATTAGAAAGAGGGAGAGAACAAAAATTAAGGATTGCTAAAAATAAATTACAAGGTTTTGCTGTTATAAAAAAAAAAATATCTGAAACTAAAGAAAATATAGAATCTTATATTTTGTCAAAAAATTAAGAATAAAGAAAAATACCGACTACTATTTACCGATACAAGTATTCAGCTTTCTTTTATCAGACTTCACAATATTTACATATATGAAACAATAATTAGAACAAAATAAAATCTATACTATTAAAACACAAGGCCTTTTTTTGAGGTGCCTTTAATTTTCAATATTAATTAACAAACCAAATGCCACTGCATTATGTTTTAATCTATGTCTTATATTAAAGTGACAATAATTAGAACAAAATAAAATCTATACTATTAAAACACAAGGCCTTTTTTTGAGGTGCCTTTAATTTTCAATATTAATTAACAAACCAAATGCCACTGCATCTAAACTATTAAAACTAAAGTACATTTTGTACTTAGTCCTAAGTTTTCCACAATAATTACAAGTGAATGCCATTGGATTAATATTAAATATTTAAAAAATTAAACATCATTTATTGTCTTATAAAATAATAAATTCAACGTTATTTCCCTGCATATGCTTTTTTGATTTCTCACTCTAACTTTTATCTAACGCGTTTTTCCATAACAATTCCTCATAATTCAAGATTAATCCAGTTTGACCATCAAAGTGCAGCATCAAACACCTTACTTGATCAATCTTCTTTCGATTTCTCACTCAACCTCTACCCAAAAACACTACTCTGTTTCATTACCTGCAACAACAAAAGACAGAGCTTGATCAAGAGTTCCATAGAAGAACCTCACAAAATTCAAGATTAATACAATTTGATCATCAAAGTGCAGAAAGAAACACATTGTTTGATTAAGCTTCAATAATCGAGTACTAATTATTAATCCAGTTTTGTATATAGTTTTCAGAATTCAAAAGATGTTTATACACATTTTTCTAAGTTCTGTTTTAGGCAAATTTAATATCGATGAAGAACACCTCCAGTGCTGATTATTAATCCATATTTATATATAGCTTTCAGTGTTTAATAGATGTTTAGACACAGTTTAATTGCATTCTTGATTAAACCAGAATTAGAAGACTATGTTTTCGTTTTCTTTTATCAGTCTATATATATTTCGTGATTATGTATATAGCCGGTTTTATTATACCATTTCTTTCAGTATACCATCATCTTTGAATTCTACATTGAGTTTAAAATATTATTATATTAGTTGACAAAATCTAAACTTAACAAATCCTAATGTACAAACGTATCTCCCACATATCACGCATTCCTAATAACTATATTGCCGTATTTATACAATACATTTAAAAAAATATTTAATTAACAAAACCAATGAATTTATTAAAGTTCTATGGTATTCACTCATATTTTCACCTTCCTTATCCAAGAAATTCTATTAATATTTCAACTAATTTTGGAGTATAAAAAGGGAATATTTTCATATATATTAACTAATTTACATATCTATGCTTAGAATGTAGATCTTTACCGTGATTTACTCCACAAAAATGATAAAATTCTATACTAATCCCTATATGTGTATTGTTCTCTGTGACCCACCGATAAATGATCGTTCTTCTCCAGCATGTACCTTTGTATGGCAAAAAAAAACAACGACATTTGATTATTCCTATATTCAGTCTAACTAATGCACTAAACCTACATCAAAGGCCA